AATAGTGTGAGGTTGTCACACACATTCTTATGCTCACGATCATTAATACACTATAAGTTTGGAAGATGACAAAACCAAATGAAATTGAAATATGACAATTTCAACTTGTATAGCTCACACTATGTGAAGGAATAATAGTTTACACACAATCCAAATAGAAGAATAAAATAAGTGAACAACTTAGTATTTTACATGTGAAAACACATAAAAAGACTAATCTTAGGGTCTAGCACAATAAGAACAACTTCTAATAATAGTTATATTGCAAGTAGAACGCATGTAATAACAAAAGAGATAAGTAATGCTCTTCACGTTGGATTTAGAACATTTAGAATTGGTAGAATAATGAAGGTAAAATAAGTACATATATCAAACAAGATATGTATATATGTATATTTATTTTTTTCTCAATATAACTATAGTATCATGTTCATACAGCAAGAAGTTATTTCGTCAGGAGTCTGGATGTCTGGATGTCGGCTGTGTCTGGATAACGGACTAGATTCACTGATAATGTGAAATTTGTTTTCTTAACAATCGATGTATCACACTTATTATGTGTATGAAATGATTTTTCAAAACGCCGCCGCACCAAATAATTTGGGGCACTTAGGTCAATAACAACTCAGCTCCACAGTTCCCTAGAAACTTAACCATCCGAAATCTGGGGGATATCAACTGGTTCGAAGGCAATCATCCCATCGTTGTGTGCTCCGTGGTAACCCTAGAGATGCTGAAAGCCACTACTCGGTATCATTTCAGGCCCTACTATCTGGCTTTCTTCTTCATCTGCCTGCCAACTCCCAGCTCCGCCGATGAGTTCGCAGGTAAGCATGCGTAACGCACCATATATATTCCCGCTCGCTCTGATTCCGTCTTTATACCTCCTAGCAGTTGCTTCCCATCCTTCTCTTGTCCGTCTATCCCCCGGCCGGCCGGTGGAGAACTCTCCCGGCACCCGCACCGGTGCGGTCGTCACCTGCAATCGCGTCCACTTCCGCGGTTTCTCTAGGGTCCATGCGCTTGATAAGTTCTTCCACGCCCTTAAGGTTACCGCTTCCGTGTCTCAAGGCGATGGTCTCTTCCGCATGCAGACGGTCGAACTCTGCTTCCATCGGTATGTTTCTTAACCCTAGGTCTCCATTCACTTTTAAAATGGGGATTGTTATTATTATTATATTCTCTTCGCAGGAAT